GAGGAGGAGGAGGAAAGGGTAAGAGAAAGAAATCTAGAAGAATAGGAAGAGGAGGAGGAAAGAGAAGAGAAGAAGAGGAGGAGGAGGAAGAAGAGAGGAGGGAGGAGAGAGGACAGAGGAGGGAGGAGAGACGAGGGAGGAGAGAAGAGAGAGGAGGGAGGAGAGAAGAGAGAAGAGGGAGGAGAGAAGAGAGAAGAGGGAGGAGAGAAGAGAGAAGAGGGAGGAGAGAAGAGGGAGGAGAGAGGAGGGAGGAGAGAAGAGAGAGGAGGGAGGAGAGAAGAGGGAGGAGAGAGGAGGGAGGAGAGAAGAGGGAGGAGGGAGGAGAGGAAGGAGGAGAGACAAGGGAGGAGGGAGGACAAGAGGAAAGGAGGGAGGAGAGAGGAGAGAGGAGAGAGGGAATGAACACAGGGAAATTCAATGCATACTATCAAGTGAAAAAAGCCAAACTGAAAAGACTACTTACTATATGATTTCAATTCTATGATATTCTGGAAAAGCCAAACCTATGGAGACTGCAAAAAGGATCAGTGATTGGCTGAGGTTAGGAGTAAAAGACAGATAAACAGACATTAACTATACAGGATTTTTAAGGCAGTGAAACTATTCTGAATGATATTACAGACGGTCTCCAACAGATGGTCCAACTTACAATTCTTCAACTACACAATAGTGCAAAGGTGGTGCGGATTCGGGAGAACCGGAATCGCACCTTTCATGTATACTTCAAGCACACATAAAACATTCTGTTTTTCATTTTCAGTACAGTAATTAATAAATTCCATAAGACATTAACACTTTATTATAAAAACAGACTGTGTTATTTTGCCCAACTGAGAGTTACTGTGTAGGTGTTCGGAGCAAATGAAAAGCAGGCTAGGCGAAGCTATGCTGTTCAGTAGATTCAATATATTAAATGCATTTCAGTTTATGACGGTTTATCAGGGCATAACCCTGTTGTAAGTAACCTCATCATAAGCAGCATCTGTACAATGGTGGACACATGTCATTATATGGTGGCCGAAAACCACAGAACGCACAACACCAAGAATAGCCTGTAATACACTATGAACACTGAGTGATAATATGTCAATGGAGGTTGCTCAGTTTTAAGAAACGTGCCATTGTGTGGGGGATACTGAGGAAGGGGAAGGCTGTGACTGTGTGCAGGCAGGGAGTTATATGGGAACTCGCCGGACTTTCTGCTCAATTTTGCTGTGAACCAAAAACTGCCCTAAAACTGGGCCCAGTGGCACACACCTGTAACCCCACCTACTCAGGAGGCTGAGGCAGAAGGATCGCTCGAGCCCAGGAGTTCAAGACCAGCCTGGGTAACACAGTGAGATCCCCCATCTCTATACAAACAAACACAAACTGCTCTAAAAAATTAAGTGTATAGGGCTGGATGCAGTGGCTCCCGCCTGTAATCCCATCACTTTGGGAGGCCTAGTGGGCGGATCATGAGGTCAAGAGTTTGAGACCAGCCTGACCAATATGGTGAAACCCCATCTCTACTAAAAACATAAAAAAATTAGCCAGGTGTGGTGGCATATGCCTGTAGTCCCAGCAACTTGGGAGGCTAAGGCAGGAGAATCACTTGAACTTAAGAGGTGGAGGTGGCAGTGAGCCAAGATCATGCCACTACACTCCAGCCTGGACAACAGATTAAGACTCCATCTCAAAAAAGAAAAAGGAGAAAAAATTAAGTGTATTAGTTTAAAAAGGAAGAAAGAAAAAGAAAGCCAGCAAGCCAGCCACCCAAGGAACCAAACTTTCCAGTAAAAACAAAGTGTAAATAAAATTTTATCTTGAAAAATGAAACTGGCCAGGCGCGGTGGCTCACGCCTGTAATCCCAGCACTTTGGGAGGCCGAGGAGGGTGGATCACGAGGTCAAGAGATCGAGACCATCCTGGTCAACATGGTGAAACCCCGTCTCTACTAAAAAAAATACAAAAAATTAGCTGGGCATGGTGGCGCGCACCTGTAATCCCAGCTACTCGGGAGGCTGAGGCAGGAGAATCGCTTGAACCTAGGAGGCGGAGGTTGCAGTGAGCTGAGATTGCACCACTGAACTCCAGCCTAAGGTGACAGAGCAAGACTCCATCTCAAAAAAATAAATAAATAAAATAAAAAGGTAGGCCAGGACTCAAGTTTAGACCATGCAAACAAGTTTGGATTTTATTTACCAATGTCTGAAAAATCCACAGCAATAGGATATAGAATGAATTAGGAGGAACACACAAAAGGCAAGAAGATCTACAACCACCTCCTGTTACACTGTCTAAGCAAGGACAGCAAAGGGAGCGGACAGAAGGTAGGAGACACAAAAAGTTCATCAGGTCTCAGTTACCACTGCGTGCAGAGGATGGATTTCCGGGGAAATGCAGAGTTAGAAATGATGCTGGGGCTCTAGCCAGGCTGCTGTTACAAACGCAGAGAGAAAGCAGAAGCAGGATTGCTTGAGCCCAGGAGTTCAAGACCAGACTGGGCAACATGGTGAAACCCCATCTCTACAAAAATTAGCCAGGAGTGGTGGTGCGTGCCTGCAGTCCCAGTTACTCAGGAGGCTAAGGTGGGAGGATCACCAGAGCCTGGGAAGTTGAAGCTGTAGTAAGCTGCGATCACACCACTGCATTCCAGCCTGTGCAACAGTGAGACTTTCTCTCAGACACACACACACACACACACACACTCACACCACAAACCAGAACAAACCAGAATCAGATTGGGAAATGTCAATAAAATTTGAGAGCTGGAGACATAATAACTGCAATTGTCTAGGAAGAATCACTGAATTTCAACCAAGTGAATTCCTCTCCTTCTCCCAACCTCCAAGTGCCCTTGTCTTTTTTAAAGCTAGACATCACCCACCTTCTCATGTCCTAAATCACCTTTTTTCTCCTTATTAAACTTACTCCATAACTACATTTCTCTTCTACAATTCTTCCAGGACACAGGACTGAGATAGTGTACTCTTGCCACATTATGTGAAAAGATCACCCAATCCAAAAGGAAAGCTGTGTTTGCCAAGACTACTAACTCCTGGAGAAAAGAAACAAGAAATCCTCCGTGTTTTCCTAATAAGTGGTTTGAGCAAAATGCACAAGTTTAACTGATGAGTGACTCTCCCCAGAGAAGGCCATGAAAATGTCTTAAGGCTGGATCGACGGTGTCCAGACATTTTCATAGGCCGCAGGCTAGAGCACTGATGCAGGAGGGGTGGCACCAGAGACCCGGAAGTCAGGCTTTGAAGGCAGTGAACAGCCACTGACTTCAGGTGAGTCACTTCCCCTCTAGGTTTTTCACTTCACAGACTGACAAGTACATGGTCTAGAATGATCGCCCTTCTAGCTGAGAATTTTCAGGCCTAACTAAAAAGTGGATTAAAGTAAACCTTGGAGAAAGCTGCATATGTTTAAGTGTCATTAAGCAATTCGGGGATTATCTAAACGCCTTCGGTTTTCTTTTCTCTGTTTCCTTACCAACTGCCTTTTAAATCTCACTCGTAGCTCTCAAGCATGACTGTCAGAGGGGCTGAAGCTCAAAGAGTTAATTTTGCTGCATCGGCGGCTCTGGTGAAAGACAGTGGGCCTGGAAAAGGAATCAAATGACCGAAACTGGATTTGGGGATTACGGTTGGCAGCCAGCCAGCGAGTTACTAGATACTGCGCACAACTCGGTCAGGCAGTTCAAAGAAAACTGGCAGAAAATGATGGGATACATTTTTTGGGTATTTCGTTTTGTTTTTGTTTTTGTTTTTTTTTGAGACAGAGTCTCACTCTGTGGCCCAGGCTGGAGTGCAATGGCACAGATCTCGGCTCACCGCAACCTCCGCATCCTGGGTTCAGGCAATTCTCCTGCCTCAGCCTCCTGAGTAGCTGGGACTACAGGCATGTAGCCCAGGCTAATTTTTGTATTTTTCGTAGAGATGGGGTTCACCATGTTGGCCAGGCTGGTCTCAAACTCCTGGCCTCAAGTGATCCGCATGCCTCGGCCTCCCAAAGTGCTGGGATTACAGGCCTGAGTCACAGTGCCGTGCTGGAAAGACATTCTTAAACTTCTCAACAGAAGGATGCACGCACTACGCTGAATGGCTATGTCTTGTGAGCAGAGTGGTGAAAAAAAAGGGGTATTTACATTTTTCTGTTAAGTCTGAATACCTACACGCGTACTTCTGTAATTCAAATTTAAGATGAAATATTATCAAGTTTTAAAAAAGGAAAAAATGGACCGGCGCGGTGGCTCACGCCTGTATTCCCAGCACTTTGGCAGACCGAGGAGGGTGGATCAAAAGGTCAGGAGTTCGAGACCAGTCTGGCCAATATGGTGAAACCCGTCTCTACCAAAAATACAAAAAAGTAGCGGGGCGTGGTGGTGGGTGCCCGTAGTCCCAGCTACCCGGGAGGCTGAGGCAGGAGAATCGCCTGAACCCGGGAGGCGGAGGTTGCGGTGAGCCGAGATCACGCCACTGCCCTCCAGCCTGGGCGACAGAGCAAGATTCCGTCCAAAAAAAAACAAAGGGAAAAAGATTCCCACCTTACTCGTGGGAGCCACGCCTCCCACCTTTGTCTACTAACAGCTACACGATGTCTCCACGGTCTCAGGGAGGAGCAAACGCTACTCCTCCACTAACGAGTGACTTGCAGGGGAACAACACGGAATCTCCAACTCGAGAAAGCAGCAGAACAAAGTTTTAAAAGTGATCCCGTTTTTACAGCCAGACACAACCGCCCACCTTCATTCAAGGCCCTAAAGCGCAGAGACCCTCTGGCCGCGTCCTGAGCCTCAGCGCCGCACGCTCTTCGCCACGGAACCGTATTGTTCTCCCGGAACACACCCCTCTGCCCGTGAAACCGACGTTCGTACAGAGGCCTGCCCGCGGAACCGCTCCGCCGGCCTTTCCCGAGGGCTGCGGGCCCCGGCCCCGGCCCCGGCCCCCGGCCCCGCCCCGCGTCACCCGACCGGCCCGCGGCCCCCCGCCCCCGCCCCCGCCGCCACCGACCTGATGACACTGATGTGGAACTGGTCCTCGCGGAGGCCCCTCCAGGCGCCGGGCAGGAACTCCTTGCACCACAGATAGGCCCTGCGCCGCGTCCGGGGCTCCGGCTGCTCGTCGGCCGGCGGCGGAGGGGGCGGGGGCAGCGGCAGCAGCGGCGGCGGCGGCGGCGGCGGGGGCAGCGCGAGCGGCGGCTGCTGGACGCCCAGCTGCTTGGACTCGAGGTCGCCGGGGGCGTCGCGCTGCTGTCCCACGCCGGGCGCCGGGGCAGCGCTGCCGCTGCCGCAGCTCAGCAGCAGCCCGAGCGGCGAGGGCTCCGCCTCGCCCCCGGTGCAGAACTTGGTTTTCATGCCGGACAGGCGGCCGAGGACGCGCGGGCGGCCGCAGCGCGAGAGGACGAGGCTCAGGGTCCGGCCGAACGCCCGCGTCTGGGGGTCAGGCGGGAGGCCGCTCGCCGCTCTCTGACGGGCCGGCCGGCGGGGCGGGGGACGGCGGGCCGCGGCGGTTGGGCGCGCGGGGCGGGTGCGGCTGTGGCGGCTGCGGCGGCTGCGGCGGCTGTGGCGCGGGTACGTGCTGCTGTTCGCTGCGCTCGCTCTTCTGCAGCCGCCGCACGAGGAGCGCCGGCCGCGTCACAGCCCGCCCTCGCGCTCGCCGCTGATTGGCCGCCCTCCGCCGGCCGGGCGCAACACACCCGCCGCCGCCCTCGCCACGCCGCCTCCCCATTGGCTGCGGCGCCGCCCCCTCCCGGAGCGCTGCGGCCTCAGGGAGCTGAGCCTGGGCGGAGGGGGCGGGGCGTCGAGGGGGCGCCCCCGCTTGCAGGGAAGAAGGAGAGGGGAGCGAGGCGCGGGGGGCGCCGGCAAAGCAGCTCTGGGGTGGAACCGAGCCGGACTGGGCAGAGCTGGGGAGGCTCCAGAGCCTCGGAGGACCCCGGGGTTGGCTTTGGGAGCTGAAAGTTTCCTTGGATCCCTCGGAAGCCCCATGACATCAGAGGCCGGGCCTGGCAAGGGCAGGCAGGAAACGTGTCTGGAGGCTACGGCCCTCTCCGCGTGACCTTGGGCGAGCCGCCGCCTCCTGGGGCTCAGTGGATGTGATTTTGTAACATTTCCCAGCGCTGTGCAAGGCGCGTTCTCGCCCGTCAAACGCTGAGCCCGAGGAATTACTAAGAAACCGAGGCCCGAAGGAGGGAAGAAGGGACGGGCTCCAGGCCCCAACGGTGGGCCAGGCTGGGCCGGGCTGCACGCCGGCTACCCGGACCCAGCCCTCTGCAAGCCCCCTGCAGCCTTAGTTTCCCTGTCCGTGGTGCTGAGGATGCTCGGGCCTAGAAGTTCAGGGCGGGAGGCCCAGGGACCGGTGAGGGAGGGGCATCATCCCCGCCACTGGGCTGCCGCTACTGCCCAGAGCACAGGCCAAAGGTGCGTGCCACGGGGCTGCTGGCGTTGTGGACGCTGTCCCCTTCCTCCCCGTCCCCCGCAGGAAACAGCCTTGTGACCGTGACTAATACACCTTTGCCGGGGTAGGGGGGCAAGGGCCCCTGCTCCCGTTTGCCACACACCGCCCCACGTCCCTCACTGCTCTTTGCCCTGCTGCTTTTGTCCTTCCTGGAAGTGAGGTGCAGATAAATATAAAAATTACGGATCCCATTTTATGGGACATGAGCTGAAACGAGGTTTCCTGGGCTGCCAGAGGCTTAGGAAATCCAGTGCCTGATGCACAGGAAATGGCTTCCACGCAGGGAGTTCACAGTCTGTCGGAAGCAAAAATCTTTTAGAGTGTGTACTTGGCTGAACTTGCCCCAAGAAGAATGGTCTTATTTAACGAAGAATAAAAATGAAAGGGGTCTAAATTTTACAAGGCTGCTGTGGCAATAGGCCTGGAAGTTGACCTGCAGGGAGCTAGGAGAGACCAAGGCCCCTGGGACAGAGGCCAGCCAAGGTGGGAATCTCACTGGATGTTTGAAAGGCTGAGAAGCCAAGGGCTCCAATCTGGGGAGGCCATTCGGATAAAGGAGCCAAGGACTTTCCTCTAAAAATACCAGCTCACAGGGAAGTGGAGCCATGCCATTGGCCTGCCCAGGTGGCAAGCCCTTTGTCCCACTGTCCCCTGGCACCAGTCTGATAATCTCAAAGGAATGCCAGAAATCTGGCCAGGAGGAGGGAGCACTAAAGTCAGGAGTGGCCCTCTATAATTTGAAATAACTCTTTCTGGCATCTGCTGGGTTTTCTTATGAAAACCCTGAGATATTTTTATGGGATTACCTTTCCCTGTGGGAGTAGGAGGTTGCCTCATGGCCAGGCATGGCAGCTCACGCCTGCAATCCCAGCACTTTGGGAGACCAAGGCAGGAGGATCACTTGAGCCAGGAGTTTGAGACCAGCCTGGCCAACATAGCAAGACCCCATCTCAAAAAGTAAAAACGAAAAAAAATTAACAGGACATGGTGGCTCACACTAATACAAATACTTGGGAGGCTGAGGCAGGAGGGTTGCTTGAGCCTGGGAGGTCAAGGCACCCATTGCACTCCAGCCTGTGCAACAGAGTGAGACCCTATTTGCCGAATGTATGAATCAGTGAGCTTCTGGCTCAGCACTTACTAACTTATGACTTTGGGCTGAGCCTCAGTTTCCTCAACTATAAAATGGGGATTATGCCCAGAGCATCAGGCTATTGTAAGGACTGAATGAGAGAATGTATGCAAAATGCAAAGGACACAAGATGCACCCATTCTGTTGCTTGCTGCAGTGCGTTGTACGGTACTGCCTCTGCCAGTGGTTGGTTTTCAGAGATGAATAATGCGACACTTATAGCAATTCACAGCCTGGGAAGATAACGTCATATAAGAAAAGAATTTGGGCTGGGTGCGGTGGCTTATGCCTGTAATCCCAGCACTTTGGGAGGCCAAGGTGGGAGGTTCACTTGAGGCCAGGAGTTCAAGACCAGCCTGGGCAACCAAGTGAGACCTTGTATCTACAAAAAATAAAATAATTGGCCAGGCACAGTGGCATGTGCCTGTAGTCCCAGCTACCTAAGAGGCTGAGGTGGGAGGATCCCTTGAACCCAAGAGTTCAAGGCTACAGTGAGCCGTGATCACGCCACGGCTCTCTGGCCTGGGCAACAGAGGCTGTCTAAAAAAATAAAAACAAATTTTAAACAAAGATCATTCAAACACTCTGATAACCGAAACGTCAATGTCTGTGCACAAATGGACAGGACTTTGAGAGAAATTTGCTATGGCAGGCACTGATCCTAAGGAGAGGTTGTTCCAAGTACAAAATCTTTTCCTCTAGGATAAGATAAAAAAAAATTTCCAGCTGGGCGCGGTGGTTCATGCCTGTAATCCCAGCACTTTGGGAGGCCAAGGCGGGTGGATCACGAGGTCAGGAATTCAAGACCAGCCTGGCCAACGCAGTGAAACCCTGTCCCTACTAAAAACATTCAAAAAAAATTAGCCGGGCATCATGGCACGTGTCTGTAGTCCTAGCTACAGGCTGAGGCAAGAGAATCGCTGGAACCCAGGAGGCAGAGGTTGAAAAGGGAGCTTCACCAGGGGTAAAACCATTCTCTAAAGCCAGTAGGACCTGGGAATCCACCCAGGACCCCATTAAGGGGAAACTTGTCCTTCTGGCCTTCTGCACTATAAGCACCTTTGGCCCAGGAAGCACTAGACATTTGACATAGTGGGGGTTCCCTTGCAGGCTGGAGAAGCAGAGCCCTGGCAAGGCTGTGCTCGCACCCCCTCCCAGGTCACACCCAGGACCAAGCACCCCTACTCCAGTTCTGAGCCTTAAAATATTGATGAGAGCACAGAGGCCACCCAGCTGCAGTACTCCACCCTAAAGATCAGGTTGCAGTCCCAGTTAGCAGAGTGACATGGAGCTGGGCCTTCCCTGAGTGTTGAGCCTGGCCCCAGCCCAGGAAGCTCTGTCAGCAAAAGGCTGTGTAGGTTCAGCAGCTTTTTGGAGGTTTCTGAGCCCAAGTGTGGTCTGACTTGGACTGACCTTTCTACCATACATTTGGCCTCAGTACCCGCAGCCAGAGCCCAGGGTCCAGAGGGCTCAGAGAAAGCCAGGTGACTAGAATACCCATGTGTCTGGTGGATGCGGCAGGCACTCCTCCCGTCCTCATTTGTAGGATTTTGAGTGTAATATTATGAGTAAAAAAATCTGGTTAGGCGCGGTGGCTTATGCCTGTAATCCCAGCACTTTGGGAGGCCGAGGCGGGCAGATCACGAGGTCAAGAGATCGAGACCATCCTGGACAACACAGTGAAACCATGTCCCTACTAAAAATACAAAAAAATTAGCCGGGCGTGGTGGCACGTGCCTGTGGTCCCAGATACTCAGGAGGCTGAGGCGGAAGAATCACTTGAATCCAGGAGGCGGAGGTTGCAGTGAGCCAAGATTGTGCCACTGCACTCCAGCCTGGTGACAGAGCAAGACTCCTTCTCAAAAAAAAAAACAAAAATTAGTCAGGCATGGTGGTACACGCTTATAGTCCCAGTTACTTGGGAGGCTAAGGAAGGAGAATCACCTGAACCAGGGAGGCAGAGGCTGCAGTAAGCCAAGATCATGCCCCTGCACTCCAGCCTGGGCAACAAGAGCAAGACTCCATCACAAAAAAAAAAACAAAAAATATTTAGAGGTCATGCTGCCACCCACTGTGTGACCTTGAACAGAGTATCTACCTCTCTAAGCCACTTTCCTCATTCCCTAACAGAGTCCTACTCTACAGGTTTGTTGGGGAGATTCACTGAAACCAGCAAGGAAAGAGCTGAATGCAGAGCCAAGGCCCCACAAAGGGTATCTATGCTTTTCTGCTTATTGTTAGCTGGATTCCCAGAACCTGGCAGAGAGCAGCCATCACCCGTTCATCCCAAGTGCCAGTGGCAGGGCAAAGCCTATAGGATCTCTGCCAGGTCCAGCAGGGCCTGGAGACTTTTCCGTTCTTTGAAGCTCCTGGCATATTCAAAAATTAAGAAACATCTAGGCCAGGCACAATGGCTCACGCCTGTAATCCCAGCACTGTGGGAGGCCGAGGCGGGCAGATAACCTGAGGTCAGTAGTTTATGACTAGCCTGGCCAACATGGTGAAACCCTGTCTCTACTAAAAATATGAAAAATTACCTGGGCATGGTGGTGGGCACCAGTTACTCAGGAGGCTGAGGCAGGAGAATCACTTGAACCCGGTAGGCAGAAGTTGCAGTGAGCCAAGATCTCACCACTGCACTCCAGCCTGGGCAACAAGAGTGAAATTCTGTCCCCACCTCCCCCACCAAAAAAAAAAAAGAGTCGGGTACACTGGCTCGTGCCTGTAATCCCAGCACCTTGGGGGGTCGAGGCGGGCAGATTACTAGATTAGGAGTTTGAGACCAGCCTCACCAACATGGTGAAACCTTGTCTTTACTAAAACTACAACAATTAGCTGGGCATGGCGGCAAGCGCCTGTAATCCCAGCTACTCAGGAGGCTGAGACAGGAAAATCTCTTGAACTCAGGAGGCAGAGGTTGCAGTGAGCTGAGACAGGGCCACTGCACACCAGCCTGGGCGATAGAGGGAGACTCTGTCTCAAGAAAATGAAGAAACATCTCGACAGGGTTACCAAAACT